ACGCCTTCTTTCGAAAGAGGAACTTTCGAAAGAAGGCGTTCTTCCTCGTGAAATGAGGTTTACCGCCATCGAAAGAAAAGCCGCGTTCTTTCGATTTAATTTTGAAAGAATGCGGCTTGAGTCTGGACGCAGGTGAGGTTTTTTCGAAAAAAGGCTACTTTTTTCGAAAAAAGCCCTGATTCTGGACACAGCCCTAGATTCCTCCCCTTGGATTTTATTGCCAACATCCCCTGCCTCAACTCTATCCCTGTTGACCTTCTCAGCCCTCATTTGTAATTTAGTGGGGTCTGTGCTAGAAGCCTTTCTCCTAAAAGGAGTCCCGCCCCCAGCAGAGTTTTTGGGAAACTGCCTAATAAAAGTCAATGCCTTCTTGAATCCATGAAGGCTCTTTTGGAGCAGACCTGTATTTATAGTTTGAGGAAAATCTGCAGTGAAATACTCTATGTTAATGGATCTCAGAGGGGCAGCCATGCTAGTCTATAACATTAAAAACAACAAGAATAGTCCTGTGGCACCTTAGATATACATTTATAAGATTCTTTACATTCTCACATCACCTGTCAAGTGCTCTTTTTGCCTTAATGCTGCATACAACGAGCAATGTATCAATTTACAATGCCTGCCACCACTTTAGAAACTTTTCTCCTAATTTTTCCTTCCCTCGCTTTAAGAGATAGGGCACCTCCTGGGAAGCTTCTTCTAACACTCTATAACTTGGAGGAGCGCCATATAATGCTCATATTCCTCATTTGCATATAATTATGATATTGCATATAAAACATGGCATGTGAGGTATCTGAGGAAAGGTGATGAATGGCTGAAACTATGTACTATCTAATTATGTCTATTTTGAGTGCATATGAAGTTATGAGATTGTGTGGTATGTCTGTACTAACACATACTGTAAGTTGAGGAATCAGCTAGCTATTAGCTCTCCAAAAACAATAACAAGGAAAGTAACCAACATCTGGATGAGGGTCAAACAACCATTAACAGCTACAATTCAGTGACTTACCTGCACAAGAGCCACCCCTGGAAATTTGTTCAGCTTTGTTTGGGGACTCAGCGACGCCCACCAGACATGCCTGGACTCTTGTTCAACAAGCACACTCTCAGGGCTGTTTCCCACTTTGGCACTCCGAGTGTTGAAGGCGGGAGCCTGCAAAGACCTTAAATACTTTGCCTCTATACAGTATACTTTGCTGCTTACAAAAATAAATAAATAAATAAATCCCCAGAGTCACAGATGCACCGTGGGGAACCTCCCCCCCAAAAGCTGCCACCATCAAGTGATTTCACCCTAAAAAACAGGAGGGGACACTTGAATTCCTTCCTCAGGGATACCCCAAGCTCTTTTGCCCCAAAAGAACATGATAAAGGAAAAGAGAAACAAGCTGAAGTCTCTGGTAGCTTACTACCCATTCTTAGGCAGGCAAATATACACCCTTGTTACTTTCCAGGACACAAGAATCAAATCATCATCTTAAAAAAATGATTTTTATTAACAAAACCAATGATATACTTGAAAAGTGTACATGATTGCTAGGTGTTACAGAGATGTCTAGGAAGGAGCATGGCGAAAAGGGATCTAGGGGTCATAGTGGACCACAAGTTGAATATGAGTCAACAGTATGATGCTGTTGCAAAAAAAGCAAATATGATTCTAGGTTGTATCAACAGGTGTGTTGTAAGCAAAACTCGTGAAGTCATTCTGCACTAGTTAGGCCTCAGCTGGAGTACTGTGTCCAGTTCTGGGCGCCACATTTCAAGAAAGATGTGGAGAAATTGGAAAGGGTACAGAGAAGAGTGACAAGAATGATTAAAGGTTTAGAGAACATGACCTATGAAGCCAGGCTTCATGAACTGGGCTTGTTTAGTTTGGAAAAAAGAAGATTAAGGGGGGACATGATAGCGGTTTTCAAATATCTAAAAGGGTGTCACAAGGAGGAAGGAGAAAATTTGTTCCTCTTGGTTTCTGAGGACAGGACAAGGAGTAATGGGCTTAAAGTGCAGCAGGGGAGGTTTAGATTGGACATTAGGAAAAAATTCCTAACTGTCAAGGTGGTCAAATATTGGAATAAATTGCCAAGGGAGGTGGTGGAATCTCCCTCTCTGGAGATATTTAAGAACAGGTTAGATAGACATCTGTCAGGGATGGTGTAGACGGAGCTTGGTCCTGCCTTGAGGGCGGGGGGCTGGCCTCGATGCCCTCTTGAGGTCCCTTCCAGTCCTATTATTCTATGATTCTATAAAACAAATTTTAAATCAGAGAAAATCACTGGGAACAACTCTTAGGGTATGTCTACACTACCCCGCTAGTTCGAACTAGCAGGGCAATGTAGGCATACCGCACTTGCAAATGAAGCCCAGGATTTGAATTTCCCGGGCTTCATTTCCATAAGCGG